CTGAAACTGAAAACCCGCTCTCAGTGTTTTCCTTTTTATCCCCCTCCCTGCAGTTTCCCTTCTTTCAAGTTCCGGTCCCTCTCACACCTTCCCTTGGGTCTCTTCTTGGTCTCACGCCTGCAGGACCTTGCGAATTCCTGAGAACTCGATAACGTTCCATCTGTCTCTGTCTACCTAAATCTCTCCCCCCCTTATTTTATGGCAGGAACGAGCAAGCAATCTATATAAACTAACATTCTTAACAAAACCTACACCTCTACTTTATGGCCAATATAAGGGAGCTTTCTAACTAGGTCAATAGCTCTAATAAATCTAATAGTTGACATAAATTGATAGTTGATTGATTGTGAGGATCCTGACACTTACACTTAAAAGATCCTAGCCAAGTTCTTCTGGTCTTTTCCTTCTTCCCCCCAACAGGAAATGCTACTGTGTCTAGGAAGTGGGTGGCTGCAAGATCTGCCTGGGGTGCAGCCACAACCCACCCGGCCGTCGGCTACCTAGAAAGTTGTGAAAGGAAGCCAGAGGGTCCGTGGTACAAGGCACTCTGAAAAGAGAAAGTGGAGCATAGTTGCACACGCACCCAGAGAAGAGCCAACCTCAATGAGCTCCAAGAAGTAGCGAGTGGGATCCAAGAGAGAGTGATCCTCAGGTGACAAGGAGAACAGGAGGATGGGAACGTCCCCAAAGCAAGCAGCAGGAAATACTGTGCCCTCTGTTGGGGAGGCAGCTTTGGAAACCGTTCCAGAGGTGGAGGGAGCTTTTGGCTGAGCTAAAAATATCTGTCCTTTACCTATTCTCTCATATATTTGTGTGTTTGTCTCTGTGTATGTGTGCACGTGTGTATATACACACACACACAGTGATTCTGGTTCAATACAAAACAGCACACCCTGTCATGTCTTTATCAACAGATTGAACTAATGTTCTCCATCTTTGTTGGGAAAAATATGTGAAGTTTTAGATTTAGTCATCAGTGGTCACCATCAGCTCATGAACAGACATCCAGACACTCCCCTGTAGGGTTTGCTGGTACAATCCAGAGTCCGCTGTCTGCTCAAGGACTGCAAGCTATTTGGGTCCCACTTCGCCGTTGGGATGAGGTTCTTTCTTTGAAGTGCACTGTTGCATGTCTCCAAATGTCACATTTCTCATCAAAGCCAAAAAAGCTCCACTTTTGCGTTCTCTCTCTGCAGAATCTTGTCCCAGTAACCTACCAGTTCATCCAGGTTGTCTTTGGGAAATTTGAGACAGGCAGCAGGATGTTTTGCAGGGAGCAAAGGTTTCCTCTGGGCTGTTCTCCTTATGGGGGATCTCAGGAACACAGACCTCAGACAATGCAAGAGTGATCTGAAAATCCCTTGGGGTTGTTGGCAATCTCCCCAAGGATTGGAGAACTTGCTCATGAGGTAATTTGGGGCATGCTTTTGGGAAGGGTAATAATAGAGTTGCATTATTTCCATTTTTACACAATGTGCTCGATAGTAGACTGACGGAGACTAACATTTTTGGCAATAGTCCCATGGGCCTTTCCAGCCTCAAGAGCATCACCCATTTCTTTCATGTGAGAAAGGCTAAAGTGTAAAAGGAACTTGCAAGGGAAGCTCACCAAAAGGCCTTTTGGGCTGTGTTGGTAGTAAAGGGAAGAAAGAGGATGGGGTGGGCCAGCTGCTGGGAGAAGATGGTATGATGGAAACAAGTAACTGGGGGAGGACACAGCTCCTCAACTCCTGCTTCGCTTCAGTCTTCCTACCCAAGACTCATGCAGCACAATTGCCACAAGGAGGGAGTGGCAACCCAAGGCAAGTACAGTAAGGGTTAGGGAGCACCCAGCCTAGACCAGTGACATCCAAGAGGAGCAGAGATCATCCTGGAGCCCTCCCTGTGATCTTTGAGAAACCATGGAGGAGGAGCAGAGCGGCACAGGACTGGAGAAGGGCAAATGTTCCTGTCTTCAGAAAGGGGAAGAAAGAAGACCCAGATGGTAGGCTTGATGTCAGTACCAGGCAAAACTAGAGTATTAAGCAGTTGGACAGCAAGCATGTAGAAAATAACAAATTACCCGACAGGAGCCAGCGTGGATTTATCAAGAATCACGCCAAATCATTGGATCTCCTGTTTTGATGGGGTGACCGGAAGAATGAGGGGGGCAGAGCATCCCACGATTTAAGGAAAGCATGCAACAGTCTGCATGAGAAAAGGACAAAACGTGGTCTGGGCTTTGCTACCGTTAGACAGATACAGATACCTAACGAGTGGACATCAAGGGTTTTGCACCAAACTGGAGGGAAGTGTCAACTAGTGGACTGCAGGGATCCCTTCAAGGCCCTATACTGGTCAGCATTTTTAGAAATGACTTATTAAAATGTGAATATCAATTTGACAGACCACACACAAATAAGTCCTGTATTTGGATAACAAAAACCAAAGACATAAGAAAGGACGAGGGAGGATGATACCAGGCAACAATAAAGGTGAAAAAGATCTGGGCTGAACACGAGAGATCACCAAGGATCACAGGCTGAACACAAGCCAACAGTGTGATGCACCTGCAAAAAATGCAAAGGCAGTCCTAGGCTGCATCAACTGAAGTTTGTCAAGATCAAAAGAAGTAATTATTCCTGCCTGCAATATTGCCATCAGTTCTGGGTATTTCATTTTAAAGACATTAATAAGCTGGAACATGTCTACAGCACAGCAACCAAAATGCTAAGTGGTTTGGGAGCAAAAAGCCTATGAGGAACTCTTGGAGGTGTTGTGCATTTTGAGAGAAAAGATTGTGAGGAGACATGCTAACCGTCTTCCAGCATGCAAAGGGCCTTGGGTAGAAGATGGAACAGAGGCGTTCCAGAAAACAGTGCCACTCCACAAGGGAACAGACTCCCTTGGAATGCATGGTAAACTCCTCTCTGCAGCAAGCGTATAAAAACAAGCGGCACAGCCGTATGTCAGGGACGCTGTAGCAGTGGGAGGGGGTTGGACTCGGTGATCTCCCTCCGACCCGCTGACATTCTATGATTCTATGATTAACAGCTGCCCAACCTTCAATTCCAGGTGCCCTTTCCTTGCACAAAGAAACTTGGGCACAGGGCCGCCAGGTCGATCTGCTAGAGCTGGAGGCTTGCCTCACACTCTTGCACACTTTGAATCGGGGATGGGAGCCTCTAAGTTGGTGGGAGAAGCAGGAACCAGTGAAGTTGGTGCATTTCTCAACACTCATCAGCCAGGAGGAAAAAGCACTAGGGCGTGGCATTTGGGGTCCCGTAAAATTAACCCCAAATGTTGTGTTTTTGGACCTGCTGACACCAAGAAAGACCCCAGAAGTGGGGACAAGGTAAAGTCTAGAAGAGTCCTCCAAGTTCCTAATTGCTGGATCCAGTGGTGTTTCCTAATCATACGTGCTGGATTTAGACACCTAAGATGTTTCCAGCATTGAGACCCTGGGACAGGCTGCTGTGCCCCTCTCTTCTGACTAGCCTCAGGTTGAAACGAGAGGTGAGTGCCATCGCAAATCAGCTGAAATTACAGGGAGGAATCCAAGCAGCCTTGCTCCTCCAAGCATGGCAAAACAGGTTAGGAACACTCCATGGGACACTGAGTTTTCAGGAAAGAAGGAAGGAAGTGGTATTGACTGCAAGGACACGTGTGTAAGACTGCCTAATGTAGAAATAGGTTTTTCTTAAAAATAGTCGGTGCGCTGCGTTGTAGGCAGCCCCATGTGTGACCACAGACCCCATAGGACAATCGTCAAGTGTAATTTTAAATCAGACAAAAGCAGAATAATTTAACCAGTGTAATCATACTGCATTTAATTGTAATTACATTTAACTGCAAAGGAAATGGCTTCAAATGTACTTTTCATCCGAACCACACACACAACCTCTTGGAATGACCCCTGGCCTGCCATTGACACAAGCCTCTCCTGGTGAAACGCTATGCATCCCCCACCCCACCCCAACTTCAAGGGAAACCTTTACACTGCAGATGAGAGATGGGGAAAAACACGTCATAGAAGAGGCAGATGTACAATGAAGGCTGGTGACAGGCAAGACACAAATCCTCTCACATTCGGGCTGCCAGGCGGCCATCACTCCCACCCACACAAAGGAACCCCACCCCCCCAGCTCCTAGTCCCCCATCCAGGGTTGCAGTTGCCTGTTCCTCTCTTCCATTAACCTGAAAAAACACACAGGACCCCTGTCTGGAATCGATGCCTTCCGAAATAGCCGCTGCAGGTCCCCAACTAGTCCTGGGGAAGGAAGCTGACAGCTCACAGATGTCTTGACCTGCCAGAAAAGTCAGAACATCCAGTGGCATGGTCTTGCAGGAGGAGGGGGCTTGCTATGCACGCCACGTGATCTGGACAGCCTGGAAGGGCACATTGCTTGGAGGACTCTGCGAGCACACAAGTGGTCGAAAAAGCTACTTTATGCGGTAATGAAAGGAGGGGGATTCTGGGAGCTGATCAAGACCACCTACTCATGAGAGAGAAGAAAAGAACACCCAAAGGGACAGTGGAAACAGAATCAAACTTCAAGCTGCAGCTTCTCTCCAGATGCCTTGTGAAACAGGGGATTGGGGGAAAGGAGCAGGCTGCCTGCGCACGCTCCAGGGTACTCAGAGGCGTTCCCTTTTCAAGGGCTTTGATCTGAAATGCAGCCCTGTTCCCGCAGAACATTAGCAGAGAGAAACTCCTCCCCGTCCTACCCAGTCCCCTCCCTCCTCACACTTAACCGGAATGACAGAAGGAAAGCTGATGTCAGGTGCTCTCAAGTTCTACCTCCAGCAGTACAAGCAGGAAACGCTGTGAAATTTAGAGGAGTTGCAGGCGCATCACCTGCTTGGCTAAACAGCCACACTAACACACAGTGCTGTCGCTTGAGCATTAGTGGACTGAGCTCACATCACACGCCAGGAGAGAAAATAGCTCCACGTCTCCCTCTTCCCCAGGAGGCCCTCCTAGCACTCTTACCCACAAAGCAGGGGAGCTGCAGGGGAGCAGCGGGGGGGGGGGGGGTTACAATC